CCTGCTCTGGCCTAGAACCTCCCTTGGCCAAGAGTTGGCCCCCTGCTGCCCCAGCCCCTGGGGCCCAAGATGTTTCAGAGCCTCTCTGGAAATGTCTTAGAGTCAGGTCCCATCCAAAGCCCACTTTCCCTGAAGCAGGTCTGGGAGGGAGCAACCTTTAAGGCATGCTACTCTGTCACCCTGCCCAGTCTGCGACATGCTCCCGACCCCAAGGCGGTCTGTGGGGTCTGGGAGGAAAGCTGAGCATGGAGCCTGAGGAGGGGTGGTGCCTCACCTTCACGGAGCCCTGAGATTGCACACAGCATTCCTCCAGCCCCCAGGACGGCCCGGGCAGGAAACAAGGTCTCCATTTAATCAGAAAGGAGCAGGGGCTTGCCCAAGGTCACCCAGCAAGGTGAAGGAGTATCCAGAGCACCTCTGGAGAGGAAGAGCCAACATTTGGAGAAAGGATGGGGAGATCTGAGGGTGTGCCCATACTCCCAGGAAAGGGCCAAGTAGGGGTTCGATCAGTCCTTGTGACCCCTGTCTTCTGTCCCCCATGGTCGGGGGCAGGGAGGGAAGGAGCTCTGGCTGGGGTCAGGGGCCCTGGGTTCCAGTCCAGCCCTCCCCCACCACCCAGAAGTCTCCCTGCCTCAGGGTAGCAGGCAAGCCTGCCAATTTACGTCAGGCCTGGCTGGGCTCCTGAAGAACGGGGGTGTGAGGCTGGATGGATTCCTGAACCTTACTGGTTTAGACGGCCAGCCTGGGTGATGTTTTTGGCTGCTTAGACGAATTTTTGGAAAAATAACAATGTTCAAAGAACCTGAGCATTACAGAGCCAGGAGGGACCCTCAATGTCATCCACACCAGTCCCTTGCCAAGACTTCAGCTCTCATACCACATCTCCAGCCGGCGGGCCTATGCCCTGCTCACACCTCTGCTGACAGCAAACTCACCACCTGCAGAGGACAGCTTTGGCTTTGTAGAGATTGTTCCACTGCCAGAGCTGATGTCTTTGTCTCTCCTTTCCTCTCTTCATTCCTTCCTTCCTCCTTCCCTCTCTACACATCTACTGAGTGCCATCTTTGGGTCAGATGAGGATCTAAAGACGAATTTACATGACCCCTGCCATCAAGGAGCTCACGGTCCGGTAGGAGAGCAGATACACTATTATAGTCTCAACACTGATCAGTGGGTGTTGTGATAGACGCTAAAAAAACAAAAAAGCATCACAGGGGCTTCCTGGAGGAAGTGTTATCTGAGTTAATCCTCAAAAAATGAGGGCTTGGGGAAAGAGAAGGGGGTTTCCAGACCCAGGGAGTGGCACATGTGGAACATCCTGTCTATTCTAGAAATGACAAATAGCATTTAGTCTGGCCAGGCACAGAGTAGGAGAGATGGGTGATGTGGCTGGCAAAGTCAGCAGGGCCTGATCACGGAGGGTCTGGTAGGCCAGGCCGAGGACTCCTGCTCTTATCCCACAGTTGCTGGAACACCATCTTGAGGCCCGGTTCATTCTCGCCACACGGGACACCATCAGAGCTGCAGTTCCCAGGTGGAGCCTCTCTTGTCTCTCGTGGTGGTTTTCTTAAATGTGACTTTTGGTGGAGGACCATTCTTTGGGATCCATTGCGACGAGGGCACTGGGCTGGAGACTGGGCAGGTGGAACCGGGGTCCCGAGCCCCGAGGCTTGCCCGGGCCTAGCTAGGGTGAGGCAGGAGATGGCAGAGCATCGCGTATGAGAAAAACCAGCTTGTGGTTGTTTGGCGCAAAAGCAAATTTGCCAGTCAGTGCAAGTTTCCGTGCTTCATCTGCTCCGGGTCTTTGCATCTCAGCTGGAGGGGCCCGTGGTGGCCTTTTGCAGCTCCCTGCAGCCTAACATTTCCACTCCCCCTGCCTTCACCTGGCTGCTGGTGCGTCAGAACAGCCTGGAGAAGGACTGGAAGGACGTGGCCATGCTGGCAGCTTCCAGAATGCCCCTGGGCCGTTCGGTCAGTTTTCCTGAGACGGGGACCGAGGGCCACCACTGACATGCTGCCTAACCTCGGGCAGGTCGCTTAGCCTGCTGGGTCTCAGTCCTCCCATCTTCTCTGCTACTTGAAGGTCAACCATGAAAGCCCTAAGAAATGTACACGGGGCTCTCAGAGCAACAGGGGCTTTTTATGAGGACAGGCACATAGAACATGCTGGAAAAAATGTCAGCAGTGGTGGATAGACCATCCAAAGTGTGTAAGTGGCTGTGGATGGCGTGGTGGTTCCCTGGCTCGGGATGAGAGAATTCAGTGTCCCAGCCATGCAGATTTCCACAGACATGCCTCAGGTCTTCTGGGATGTAAGTTTGTTTCCCACCCCGGCCAGTGGGTGGGCCGCAGGGATCCGTGAGCTCAGGCTGTAGACATCCGATCGACATTGGCTCTGGCTGTCCTGTGGGCACCAGGCTACCTAATCAGCCGGCCCGCCCCTCTGCCGCCATCCATCTTTCTTTAGACACTTCAGCGCTTGCTGGAGGGAACATTTGGAATCTCCTAATCTCTCCAGAGGATGGATCTGGGGAAGACTAGGGCTGAATCTGTCTGTGGTCAGGGGCCTGGGTAGGATAACCTCTAAAGTTCCTTCTAGGAACCTACGATTGGGCTGCTTGCTCCACCTGGATGACGAAGGGTTCCTCTGGGCCAGGAAAGGTGCACAGATGAGGCCTCAACACCTTGCCTGGCACCGCATGCGCGTGCTCAACAGTCACACAGCGGGTTGATTTACCTCTCTGGGCTCATGCCCGGCACAGAACTGGGCATGCAGTCAGGTACCTGGACTGTTAGCTCAAATGTTTCATCTTTAATTCACCTCAGGCTTCGGCTGAGTGCATCTCATGCCACACACTGCACTGAACTGAGGGAAATCTGGCTTCTAATTCCTTGACACTTATCTCATCTACAGAGCGCTCTGCACCATCTGTTTGATGTCCAACAGGCCTTCCGAGCCTGCTTTAGAAGTCAGCGAAGCCCCTTCCCACTCAGAAATAGGAAGTCACATTTCTGCCAAAGATAAACGGACTCCAGCCCTGGTTGGGGTCAAGTTCAGTTTACAACGTGATGCCCATGGGGCCGGCTGGACCCTCTGAAGCAGATCTCAGGACTCCTGCCAGGTCTTAAGCTCAAACGTGTCCATCCAGGGCCGAGATGAAAAGAAGTTAGCTGCTGGCCAAGATGCTCATGGGACCTCTGGCCATCCAGAGATGTCCAGAATTCTGTCTCAGAAGGGAGACAGCTGCCGGGCTGGGCACAATGGCATTGGGTCTAATCAGCCATTCCCGGGCCTGCCAGGGAAAGCCATGGTGTGGTGACACTGTGGAGCACTGGGCTGGGGGGTCAGCAGACCCGGCCAGCTGGGTGCTTCCCCTCTCTGGGCCTCGTGATTACTATTACCATTCTTATCTGTCAAATGAGGGGCCCTTTCTGCTCGTGGGTTCCAAAACTCAGTGACTGACGAGCCACCAGCCCAGTGAGGATTTAGGGCTAGGAGGCAGCCAACCTGGGTCCTGTGCTATCTCAGTTACCACCCTGGAGGCAGAGGAGTGAGGTCAGTTTCCCTAAGTCTCAGTTGCCTGCCTGCCCAGATTCCCCCACCCACCGGCCTCTGATTTGATAGGAAAGCCTCTCACTGGCTCCAAGATAAGGCATGTTGGGGCATGGGACACGTGGTCCACATGGTTGCCAGAGCCCTTCGCTCAGAGGGGCCGACATGAGTGACTGTGGCCAACAGGTCTCTTTGGTTGGAGCAAGGAGCTTGTGCTGGCCCCTTTGGGTGAGCTCTGCCTTCTGCAGAGCTTCCCTGTGCAGAAAGAACATGGCAAAATATGGTCCAGGGGACAAGCATCGCTTCTGAATCATACTGATCTGGGGTCATGTCCCAGCCAGGTGACCTTAGGCAAGTCCATTTATCCATTTGGGGGGCTCAGTTTCCTCATCTGTGAAATGGGGACAATCACATCACACAGAACTGTCATGAGGATCAGTGATAAAGTGAGTGTGCAAAATGCCTGCCACGATGCAGGCTTTGGACAAATGGTGGCTTACATTAGGATTGTTATTACCATGCGACTCCTAGAGCCTCAGTCCCTAAAATTGCCTTTTTGTGCCCACACCTGTCCTTTGGCCCAGCTCACTCTGTTTGGCCATGACTTCAACAGGCTCTTCTATAAGCCAGGCTTATAGAAGATTAATGAAACCAGAACAGAGAGGTCCGGATTCACATCCCGGCTCTCCCACTTGCTGCATGACCTTGGGCAACCACCTTCTTCTCTTTGGATCTCAACTTAACCATTTGTCGCAGAGGGCTGGGGGATGACCCCCCTCAGCACCACCATCCCTCCCCCACCCCCGTGCTTTGGTCCAAACACTTACCGAGAGCTCTGGAAGGCCAGTTCACAGACACTCAGGGCTTTCAAAATAGCAGCATTCTTTCCTAAAGTATCTTCCCACCCTAGGATGCATCCAGGGGAGGGAAGGATCGTCAGCGTTCACATCTCTGGCTCCCAGATCCAGCTTCACAAAAGCTAAGCCTGTCTGCCTGCCCCTCTCTCTGAGATCCCCATGGTGGGAGAAGCCAAACCCAGACACCGGAGGCTTCTGCGGGTCTAGGAGCAAGCCAGTTCAAAGCCACGGTCTGCCTGAGGTTTGCAGACATCCTGGCAGCCTGGGTTCACTTCCTGGGTTGGCGTTGGGGCTACTTAAAGGGTTAACATAGGCCACATAAAAATAGTTTTATCGGTAGAATAAATACATTTTTCTTTTTTAATATGGACACATATTTTACAAAAGAGCCCCATAGCACTATGGGAAATTAAGATCCTTCTACAAAAAAGAAGATGTAACTTGGGTACAATAAAGCTCTAGTGTTCTAACGGATCCCGTCTGGACTGCCCGTGAGGTGTCAGGCACCCTGGACGTGGTGGCAGGGGCAGTGGGGTGTAGCCGCAGACCCTCCTGTGGTTTCTCTGGCTTCTCTGCCCTGGTGGCCAAGGTCAGGAGGGCCCAAGGGCGTGCCGCAGGAGGGGGGCTGCAACGCTGGCCAGGATGGCGGGGAGGGGGCCCAGGGCGGGCTGTGGGCAGCAGGGCGCAGAGCTGCTGGTGGGGCCTGGCTCTTCCCGCTGCTGAAGCCGCTCTGAGGGCTGCAAGGGGGGCCCTGCTGTCCCGGAGCTGTGCGTAGGCTGCAGGGGCGGCGGGGGCGGTGAGGCGGCCGTGCTAGAGGGAGAGAGAAAGCGGGAGAACCGCGGCGTGACCACTCAGTAGCCTCGTCCTGGGCTGTGGCCTGGGGTTCTAGGCGACTTTAGGGAATCTATTTTTGTATAAATGGAGAAGGAGACGAGGGGCTGCGCAGGGAAAGTGAGCGGCCCAGAGCCACACAGCCGGCTGGCTGCGCTCCCGAGGCTACAGGCCTCAAGTGTGACCGCTCGACACAGGTCCCAGGGCAGAAAGGATGAAAGTGGCATGGAGGAGCTGGGTCTGGGGTCACGCTGGGGCGGTCACGCTGGGGCAGTCAGCCTCCAGGCCTGTGTGCGCAGGCACTCTCCTGCCACTGTCCCCACCCAGCCCGAAATCGACGGGAAGCCAACCACACAGACCACCCTACCATCTCCCGGCCCTCCTGATCACAGCTCCCAGGTCCTGAGGGTCTCTCTGGCCTCAAAACCAACCTTCCCAGTGGGTCTCATCACCCCCTTCCCCCAGATGAGAGGGCTGGGGCTCGGGGAGGCTAAATGGCACCGGGTCCCAGGAGAAGCAGGGACAGCACCGGGGCAGCCCCGGGTCAGCCGCCCTCTACACAAGTCCAGGGAGGTTGAGGGAAACCTGTGATCCTTCCTGAACTCATAAAAAGAGAATCCAGTTTTGGAGGGAATGGGTGAGATCTTTGGCTCAAGAGAACCTATGAAAGAGAGGGAGGGAAAGGAGGAGGGAGGAAGAGACAGAGAAACAGGGAGATTGAGTGCGGGACGAGCCTGCTGGCTGAGGCCAGCGCCGGGTGCCGTGGGGAAGTGCAGGGGAGGACAGGGGCCAGATGGGGTGCAGGACCAGGTACGCGGCTCAAGTCCTGGAAGGAGAGAGAGCACATGGTCAACAAAGAGAGGGCCAGGGACAGAGGAAGAGAGGGGACAGGGACCGACAAAGCACAGGCATATAACCCAGAGAGGCCATAGGGGTAGAAGGCTCCAGGATGAAGAAAGAGTTGGAGCCCCAGGGGGCGCTGGGCCCCACCTGCTCTCGTGGAGCCCTGGGTCGGGGAAGCAGGGGGAGATGCTGACAGAGGACCTGACAAGTCCCTTCACTGCATGGGTGCAAGGGTGGGAGGAGAAGCCGGGCAGGGGGCACAAAGAGGGGTCCCTGTCCAGGGCAGGGCCAGGAGGGCCTCCTGGAAGAGGTGACACAGCAGTCGGCCTGAAGACAGAGTCTACCTTGCACGTGGCTGAGGGTGCCCCCGGTGGCCAGAGAAATACTTACCCCCAGCCTGTGGCCGCTCTGGGCCAGCACCTAGGATATACTTCATGGCAACACTAGGAGGCAGGTCTGACTCTTATCCCCATTTTACTTAGGGAGAAACTGAGGCAGGAGGAGGTTAAGTAACTTGCTCCAGGACTCACACGAATGCTGGGATCGGAACCAGGCACATAGTAGGTGCTCGCTAGCAGTTGATGCACGGGCAGGAAGCTTGCCCTTCCCTGGGTGTCTTCGGTGTGAGCAACCTCCTCCACGTGGGACGCTGCCCCGTTTTCCAGTGCTTACTGCCCCTCCCCAGGAGGCTGCTCACTCGCTGGGTCCTCAGGGAGTCCCTCCCTTGCTCTACCTTGGCCTGCCCTTCCATGGGTTCGGCACAGGGTCCCAACAATTGGCCATAATCACTGTGAGCTCTATGATCATCACCACCAAGATCCAGCCCCACTGCCATCCCGGCCAGACGCCTCTCACACAGCCTGGCTCAGCCTCAGCCTGGGTGGGTGTACAGGGGAGCCCGGGGTCACCATGTACACCCCTGCCTCCGAGTGGGCTGAGACCTCTACTCTGGGAGTGGGTGTCCACATGCCCTCAGTCAAGAAGGTCCTCGCTCCTGGCCTGTCCCTCGTTCTCTATGCTGGTCATGCTCCAGCCACAAGAACCTGCCACCTCCTCACATGAGGTTCTTCTCAGCCTGGCATCTACAGTTGCTGTGTACTATGTTCCTCTGTCTTTAGAAACTCCTAGAGGGGCTATCAGGAGAGGAGGGAGCAACAGCATGTCATGCGCCATGGGCAGAGGGAAGGTGCTCCTAGATAGAGAGTGTGCCTGTGGAACAGAAGAGGGGTAGACCAGGAGGCTTGGACTGCCCCCGACGACACACAGTATCTGGCAGATGATGCCCCAGCCTGCAGCGGCCAGCTGAGCACCAAGACCCCTCACGCAGTCGGGGGCCGGCCGACCTCACCTTTCCTGCCTCCGCCAGTACGTGTCACCTGTCCAGTCACACCGACTCCTGCTGCCATTTCCCACCCACGTCTGAAGGCCTGGCTCAATATCCCCTCTCTTGGAGGCCTCTCTGGTGGGTTCTCCTTCCCCTTAAGGCCTCCGGGGAGAGTTAAGTTTCCCAAGGAACCTTGTGTGTGTCTCATTGATGCTGCCGGGTCCTACACAGGTACCTATTTCTGCAGAGGAGGCCTGAACGGGCTCCTGCGTGGGAAGTGCTTTGAGCAGCGCCCCGCGCACTGGAAGCATGACACGGCTTCGTGTTTAGCATCGTCGTTAGAATGTTTGTGTGTGTAGCTCTCCCGCTAAGAGCGTCCTCCATTTGTGAAGCGTTTCCTAGGAGCCCGTAGAAACTGCGATGCTGTACACGTGTCACCTCATTATCCCCATTTCCAGGATGAAGGGACAGCCTGCAGGGGATCAGGATACAGAGGCGCACCCGTCAGAGGGCACAGGGGTCAGCATGGCGCTTCCTGCTGAGACCCGGAGAAACTGTGTGTGGAGGCTCGCCGGGGTGGGAGGTGAGGCCCATGTGGCCTCGGCCCCGGGAGGGTCAAGCCTGTGCCCGAGCCACTGCCTGAGCCCTTTCTCTCCCTTTCTCTTCTAATGAAGAGAAACTCCACAGGCTACACAAAGTGTCCACGACGGTCCCTTCCTAGTGCCTGCCCTGTCCTTTCAGCCTGAGCAGCCAGGAGGCTAGGAGGCCCAGCCTCAAGAGAGGAGGCTCTGTGCCACTTGGGGTGCCCAGAGAGGGGCCCAGACTGGCTGCAGCCAGCCCTGCCATCGGAGGGAAGATCAAGTAGGAGTTATGAAAATTATGTCTCGCAAGGCGCCCAAAGGCATTTGCTCTCACACTTTGAAAACCAAAGATGCACATTCCCGCTTGGAGCCCGAGCAGGGGTTTTATTGCTTGGAAAGAGTCCCAGGGAAATGGGGTGGGGGGCGGAAAGCCCCTCCAGATGCCCCCGCCTCCCCGGCCCACTCTGCTCACAAAGCTCAGTCCCCAGGTCCAGATCCCCCTCCCCAACGCCCCCAGGCCCATACAGGGGGAAACTGTCTCATGGCAAAGTGGCCTCGAAGCCAAACCAAACACACTGAGTGTTCCCAGGCTCCGCAGACGGCTGGCACCAAGGGGCCGAGTCTGCTCTGAGCCGACAGGGCCCCTCGCATGGGGAAGGGCCCCACTGCTTGGGTGAAAGGCTGAAGCCCTGTTCTAGAATGCCTTATGTCCCTGTTTGCTGTGTGACTTGGGGCAAGTCCTGTCCTCTAGGCCTCAGTTTCCCTACGTGTACAGTGAAGGAGCAGGAACAGACCCATGCATTTTAAAATGTTTTCTAGCAGCAGAAGCCAGAAGGGAGATCTTAGGCAGAAGCTGAAGGTGTAAAGCACAGAGAAGGAGGGCTGCTGCTTGAGACAGTGTCAGCTGTCTGCCTACTGAGGCCTCCGCTCTGGGCACCCCACGTGGCACAGAGCCTCCTCTCTTGAGGCCGGGCCTCGGAAGGTGGTGGCCTTCTTCCCAATGCAAAGGGCTGCTGGCTGTGCCCTGGGCGACCTCCTCCGAGGCTTCCGGGGAGACAGAGTGGAGATGGGGCTTGGGTGTGCAGGGCCCCGCTGACAGGCGGTCCTACTGCCTGGGGGTGCAGCTCTTGATGTGGCCCGGCTGGAGGAGACTCCGCTGCCAGTCTGGTCTGGCCTCAGCCTCTCAGAGCCAAGCGGGCTTTGCCCACAGCCCGATGTCCCGATGTCAAAGGCCCATGCCCACCTCCAGGCCTTTGGCCTCACGGCCTTCTCTGCTGGCAATGCCCTCATCCTCCCCATGGCCCCGGCTGACCGACTCCTTCGCAGGCACAGGAACACTGACTGGGGCTCCAGGGCTCCTTCGGTGACACCGTGTTGGGAAGCTGTCCCTGCCTGGCCGTGGCCTGAGACTTTCCCTGCTCTCGTCCCCACCAGTGTGTGGCCAGTGTGCTCCTGTTAAGCAGGGGGGAGTGGGCGGCACCCACCCAGTGGCTCACTGAAGGCTTGAAGCCTAAGAGACGCTAGGGACCCACGAGCAGCTCCTGCTGGGGTCGGGGAGAGTGGCATCTGAGGCCAGCCCAAGAGTCCCACCAGCGGCGGTCTGGCGCCAGCCTACCACTTTATAAGCATCCCTTCGTTTCCTCTCTATCCTCAAAGCGAGCACAGGGAAGAGCTGGGCTCTGAAGCCCATTCTGCCTGCATTTGTCTGTGCTTTTATTCATGGAGTGATCCAGTTTCCCCTTTCTCATGGGGTATCTTCTACCTCTAATCCTATGGTATTCTGGCCTCATACAGAGACGCTGACCACGCTGGACCCTCCGAGGAGAAGGTCTGGCTTTACTGAGAGAAACTGGCGCTGGGGAGCTTGGGGCAGGATGGGTGGGCCAGCCAGAGGTGTGCAGAGCCCTCCCAGGGGCCGAGGGGTTGGAACACTGTGTTTTTTCCCCTTCGAGGGGGCCCTGGCCATCTGCTCAAACCTCAGGGAAATCTAGGCCCAGAAGGACAATGACACGCTATGCGTGTGTGAGTGTGTGGGTCCCGCATGGTGCACCCACAAGGCCCTGGGTCCGTCCACACTGATGCGCACCTGTGCCTTGCTTCCAGCCACGCCCAGCCCTTGGAAGGAGCTCCCTTCCCTGCCCCTGCCTCCTCGCCACTGTCCTTCTGTCCTGACGGCCCAGCACTCTGCTCCCTTGTTTATGCACCCCTCCACCCCCATCGTGCGCACACGTACCCCAGCCGTGGACAGGGGGAGCAGCAGAGCTAGCATGACCTTCGGAGCCCAACCAAGGCCCTAACTGCCCAAAAAGAGAGACCGAGGATTGTCACGGGTCCCATACGGCACACAGCCAGTGGGAGCGAGCCCTGCCCTGCTGCCCGCCTCCTGGCCCTCCGACGTGGGGATTCCCTGGGGGTTCCCTCGGAGTTCCGTGCTTGCAGCACAGCCGTCCGCAGACACACGCTTGGGCCTTTCCGGGGGTCCTCGTAAATCACCCTGCCAAGGGCTGCGGCTTCCCTAAACTTCCTCTGGGGTGTTTCTGTCTCAGGGATTGAGGGGCGAGGGGAGGGTCAGCAAACCCCCAGCGAGGCCCCTGGTGGCCAGAGAAGTCCAACCCAGATCTGGTGCCCAGGGCCCCCAGGCCTTGAAACACAAGTGAGGAATTGCAGCCCCTGTGAGTGAGGGGGCTCCTGCGGGGGCTGTGGGGTGTGGGGGAGGAGAGAGGGGACACAGCCAGTGAGGAGGGAGGAGACGTTTGGAGGTGACGGCAGGAGGGGCATTTGCATGGCCACGGGCGAATGTGAGCCTCAGCGTTAGACAGACCTGGGTGTGTGCTCTGACTCTGCAGCTCACTTGCTGTGTGGTCTTGCACGAGTTGCCTGACCTCGCTGGGCCTCAGTTTCCTTGTTTGTCAAACAAAGCTTACTTCCCAGACTCCTGACAGGACCCGAGGCATGAGGACATAGGAGCCTGCTGCGGTGCCGGGCACAGAGCGGGAGCTCGGCCAATGTCCCCTCGCGCCCACCGCCGGCAGAGAGAAAAGCAAGAACAAAGGTGGGAGGTGAGCCAGGCATGGCCCGCTGAGGGTGGCACACAGCCTGACCAGGACAGGGCCCGCAGGAAGGGCAGCCTCGGGCTGGAGGGGAGACCACAGATCTGCGTCCCTAGTGGTGGCAGGGAGCACCGAAGAATCTCAAGCTGCTGGGGGCAGTGTGCTTGGGCAAGGGGTGGTCACAGGTGGAGCAGGAGCTGGGAGAGGAGATGGATGGCTCTGGCAGGATTTGGGAGGAAGAAAACGAGAAAACTTGGAATGGAATCACAGCTCCAAGGAAAATGGTTTTGTTAGAGTGGCTACAAATGGGCCTTAGGTTCCCCCTCGGAGAGCTCTCCTCTGCTCCCCCTCAGAGGACCGGAAACTTGGAAACCCCAGGTGGGTGGGGTGAGTCCCCTGGGAGTGACAGAAGCTGCACCCTCACCTAGGCCTCTCAAGGAGCTCAGGGCCTGCTTCCCTGAGAAGCATCGAGAACTCAAACGGGGTGCCCATTCGTGGAAACTTCCTTCTCCAACCCCACCAGACGGAAGAAAGCTAGCCAACCACAATTTACCTGTTAGGTTGGAGAAAGGGCTCCCTCTTGCCAAAGAAAAGCTATTTTCTTCTCCTGAAACCAGGCTCTGTGTTTCAGAGTTACGTGTTGTGAAAAGGAAACTGTTTGGAGTCGTTTGCCGAAATTTACCTTTCAGAAGCAGTTAGGGTCGGGGGTCTGTTGCTGGAGCTGACAGCCAGCTCCCTGGCCCCTCGTGGGCTGGGCCCACCCCTGGTTGGGTCTCCTGGTTGCCCCAGCAGGTTGACAAGGGCCCTGAGTCACCCTCCCAACTGGAGCTTTCTATGGGCCCCCAGCGCCTCTGTTGGCCCCGCTGCTCCCTGGGAGGCTGCAGGCCGTCCCCAGTGCTGAAGAAGTGGCTCTCTGATGCGACTCCCTGCCCACGTGGAGGGAGCGGCCCATGCCGGGCATGTGAGTCGAACATGTCCCAGCTAATACAGCTCCAGCGGTGCCTCTGCCTTTGGGGGGCCAGGCTGGCCCGGCCTCCAAACAAGTGCATTTCCCACTAACCCAAGTCAGATGCTTTGAAACCAAAGCCCAAAGGAGCAATGGGCTCCATTCCTATTTGCTGGAAGACTTTGTAGAATAGTGCACCTCCCAGACTTTAGGAGAGTGGACTGGACTGTGTCAACGTTTTGTCATTGACTCAGAGACCTGGCTGCAGGAGGACCATGAAGTCGACAGGGCAGGAGGCAGCCCCTGATGGCTTGTGTGACCCTGGACAGACCCCCTGCCCCGCAGCCTGTAAATGCAGAACTGGGTCCATGTTCCCCAAAGCTGCTGAGAAGACTCTCAAGTGCACATTCAACCCAAGGGCAGACTCAAACACACAACTCCCCAGGCCCATGCGGTGCAGGGTCAGATTTATGAGGTCTGCAGTGGGGCCTGGACATTTGTTTGTTTACAGGTTCCCCGGATGATTCTTTCTGGGGATGTGGAGGAAATCCCAGATGATGGTCTTTAGGGCTCAGGGGAGACTCCAAGTCTCCAAAGGCCCACTTCTGGGGCACGAGGTCCAGGGCTGGGCTACCACAGTGGGTAGGACTCTGACCTTCACCGACAGGGTGACACTGTTCACTACACACGGAGATTCCTACCCCAGTGCGGAAGCTAGGGAGACTGTTCTGTACCGAGCCTGCAGGCGGAAGTTGGGAGATGGCATCCTGGTTACAGCAGGAGCTTTGGTGACAGGCTGAGAGGGTGGCACAGGGGTGGCAGGAGCACACAGGCAAGGGACAGACAGGTATCGGCACAGCAGGATGATCTCTGCACCTGCCCATGCTCACCATTGTTCACCACAGATCCCCCATCCCCTGCCGAGATGGAGGATTAGCAGTAAGGGCAGCGGTCAGCCCCTGTCATCTCTTCTTGCAGAGTGGGACCCCCTGCACCCTCCCTGCCCGGGTGTCAGCCACTCAGACCTTCCAGGGACAGGGAGCTCACAGCCTTTCCAGGTAGCCAGCCTGCTCTACTCGCTCTTAGTGTCACCGTCTGGCACGTGGGACAAGAGGAGACTGCTGTGCACCCCAGGTGCATCCAGGGAAGCTAAAGGCAAAGCAGACTTCTGTCCAGTGCACCTTAGGGAAGTTTCTATTCCCTTACCTTTAAAATGGAAAGAAGTGTACTTGTTCTCATTTTGAGAATAAAAATGAAAAATCAGATGTGAGCATGCTCTGTAAGCCCTGCTGAATGACCAGGAGGAGTCTTTGTGAAGGTGGGGGGAGGGTCAAGCTATCCCATAAGTTTCTGCTCAAGTACCCACCTGGCCCACTTCCTCCGAGCAGGGCTCTTGGAGGAGAGAGGCCCCGGCTCCGGGGTGTGTGCGTATGTGTCTGAGGCCGGCCGGGACAGGTGGCCAGCCCCGGACGGGCCCGCCCCGCTGCCGCTCACCTGTCCTCGAGGCGGACCCACAGGTCATTGAACTGCCGTGGCCGCTGCTGCTTGTTCTGCCTCTTGTGCCACTTTTTCTGCCGCCCAAACTCCTCCAGCTGGCTGAGGCTGTCGGGGAGCAGGAGGTGTGGGGACAGGGCTGGGTCTTCCTCCTCAGGCGGGGCGGTGGGGGCGGCTGAGGGCGCTGCGGGGACGGCGGCGGCGGCAGGGGTGGCTGGGGCTGGGCTCGCCGAGGTCCCCTCGGGGGGCGGCGCAGGGCTCCGGGCGGCGGGGCTGGAAAGGGGCAAGAGCACGTGAGGCGCACGTGTGGGACTGTGTCACTCATGCGCAACAGCGAATGCCACCCAGCGGGAAGGCTGTCACCGCAGGAGGAAATGCTGGGTGCCCCTGCCGCACGGGGCCAGGGTGTGTGCTGTCGAGAGATGGAGGGAGCTCTGACTCCTTCTTTCATTGAGGGACTCCCTGCGCCGGGCACTCTTCTAGGAATTGGGCAAAAGCAGTCTAAACTAGGTCCCTGTCCATTCTGAGCTCGCTCTCCGAAGCGGAAGATGGACAGTAAGGATGGCAGACGGTGGGAGCCCTGGAGGAGGCCAGGAGGGCGGGTGGAAGGTGCTAGGCCTGCAAGGGGGTCTGGTCACTGCCGGGTGACATCTGAGCCCAGACTCGTGGGAGCGGAGGGCGGGAGCCATAGGCAGGTCTCTGGGGGCATATCTGACCTTCGTCAGGGTCTTTCATTCCACAAACTCTGGCTGAGGGACTTGGGGCAAGTGACTAACTGTGCTGTGCCTCATCCCATAGCCCGTGCTTCCGAGGGGCATCATGAGGATTTCGTAAGTTAACACAGGCAAAGCCCTTAGAACACTGACTCGCTCATAGTTAGCAGCTGAAATGTTTTAGTAATGAACATTATTCATTAAATATTATGAAGTATTAATGTGGTTGCTTGTGTCATTCATCCAACCACCCATCCGTGCATTCAACATCTACCTCCTGAACACCTTTCTGGGGAGGCGGGACAGTGTTCAGCAAGTTAGAGCTCCAGCTAGAGGCAGACAGACATGGGTTCACACCTGGGCTCTGCAGCTCACAGGCTGTGTGACCAAGGGCAGGTGCCACGGTGGTCTGGAGCTTCAGGCAGCTGTAAGATGGGAGTAGTCATACCACTTACTTCATAAGCTTACCACGAGGTTCAATGAGATGAGGTCTTAACACAGTGCCTGGCACATAATAAGCATTTCTTTAACGTTGGCCTGCCAGCAAAGGGACTTGGCCGTAGTAGGCACTAAAGCATTGATTAGGTGTGTGTTCGTGGAATTCACATTCCATACAGTGCTCTATATACAGGTGTCTTGGCCCGGGAACATCCTCTGCTCGTCTCCCTTTTATTCTTTCCTCTCTGGCGCCCGAACGGACTTTCTCTGGAGGACCTCAGACCCTGGCAGAAGGCTGGATGTGTCATGGGGACTATAAAGGTACGGTGACACCCGAGGCGGCATACAGCCTGTCCTCCACTCCTGCATGCACGATGGGGTGAGGGGCTTCTCCCTCCTTGAAGGAGAGAAGGCCATCAGCTCAGCTTGTCCGTCCCCAGCCCCCACAGCAACCCCAGATTCCCAGGGTCCAGGAGATGTTGCAGCTGCTAGGGAGATAATTCACAACAGGCGGACAAAAAGATGGATCCAGGAAACACCTGTGGCCGAGGATGGCTTTTATTGTTGGGGTCTCCTCAGCATCCCAGCCCCTCGGGCCCCCCCCCGCCTCCGACCCCGGGACTTCATCGTGTGCTGGAGACTCAGCCTGAGAGCTCTCAGAGCGGGGCCGGGCAGGGAGGGGAAGAGGCGGGGGACCTTCCTCTAATGCCTGGGCTCTGAGATGAATAGGAGCTGAGGCAGCCTCACTGGCCTCTCCGCCCACCCTGCCTGGCCTGGGCAGACACAATGCGCTCCGAGATGAAGTCCTTGGGGCTATGTAGGGGAGCGTGAGGAATGCCTTGTCCCCGAGGCTGCCTTGGGCCTCTCACTCCTCCGGCACACCCCTGTGCTGGCCCAGGGCAAACTGCTTCACGCTGCACTCAAACGTGCAGGAGGAGCAGTCTCGTCAGGCTGACTCAGATGGTCAGAAGAGGAAGGAGTCCAATGTGAGGGAGTTTTGAAGTTCTTCTAGAAGAGCCATGGAGACAAGGGTGAGCACTGGCCCAGAGCTAGGAGACCAGAGGCTCAAAGCCCTGGGCAGGGGGGCAAGCCTCATCCCTGCAGAGCAAGGAGCAAAGCCTCAGCCATTCCTGAGCACGCCCACTTCCAGTCCCCAAAGAGGGGACGGGGAATGGTTAGGAGTTTAGGGAGGCTCGAGAGCCAGACTGCCATTTACATGAGCTGTGTATCCCTCTGCCAGTGACTTTACCTCTCTGGGCCTCAAGTTCCTCAACTTTAAGATGGGGATACTCATAGTTCCTAACTCATGGAGCTGTTGTAAGGATTCAATGAGCTAAAAATGCTGAGAGCCTGGTGTACCGTGAACCATCAATAAATATTCGCTATGATTGTTCAAACTTTTTTCTGACTCTGGCTCATGTCATGTCAGAGACAGGGGCTGAAACTGCACTGTGGTCACCTTTGTGGGCTAGTGAAGAATGTTCCTGCATTACGGTTGGAGTGCGGGCTGCACGGAACCCCCAGGTTCGAAGATCCTGTCATTGCCCCCCGCCCCACAGAGCTGCCCAGCGTGGGCTAACGCCCATCATGCCCGCCCTGGCACCGTGAGCCACAAGTGGGCCCAGCTGGCCCTTGCCCTCAGGGGACACCCAGCCTAGGGGGGGATAGGAACCCCTCAGATGTCCAGTGATGGCTATTTGAGTAGAGTAGGTGTGCCCTGGTGGGAAAGTCAGGGGTAGGGGGGCACAGCCAAGAGGTGCGGTCAAAGAAAGGCTGGGTGGGGCTGGGCATCCCCCAGGTCTCTAGGCAGCACCCCAGGTATCCTGCAGAGTCCTTCCACCCCCCTGCTCACCAGGCTCTAAATCCCGAGCATCTCTCAGAATCTAACGCTCCTCCCATTCCCACTGCCCCAGCCCCCAGCCTCACCTCCCAGCTTCCTTCCCAGTCCCCTCACCTCCAGCCCAGCCCCTCCACTCTTGGCTGCCTAGTCACAGCCGGTCCCTACGAGGCTTCTTCACAACTTCCCGCAGGCCTGAGCAGGAAGACAGGGTGCAGCCCAGCCATGCAGCACGGGGTCTGGCGGGCTTCGTGGACGGTGGCAGCAGGCCAGCCAGGCCCGTGCCCCCAGATGCCCCAGCTGCTCACCTGCGGATGGTCTGCCCCGCAGGTGTGTGCAACACCTCCAGCCCTGCTTGCCGAAGGACGTCGATGACCGTGTTGTTTCCCAGGAAATGACCTAGAACACGAGAGACAGAGTGGACTCAGCCACATGCCAAGTCACCAGCAACTGGGGACAGCCTCAGGCCAGGGACCTATGCCGAAGGCGGTACAGTCCTGGAGCCAGCTCGGCGTGGCCCAAATCCTGGCTCGGCTGCTCACCTGTCGTACGTCCCTAAGCCCCAGTTTCTGTGTCCCGTTCCTCTCTGTGGAGTGGGAATGATGCTAAAAGCAGCCTGCAGGTGTTGGGAGGATGGCGGGAACGGTGGCTGGCACTGTGGCAAAGGGTCACGAGTGTTTCCTGTGGCATCACTGCGCCTCGTACCCTGAGGCTGACCCCAGGCCCAGGCTGTAATAACCCGCGGTGCTGTCTCTGTGCACAGGTCCCAGGTGCCAGCTGTGGCCACCACAGTTTTATACCAGAAAAATAAAGTGAATTAAGCCTGTGTAAAACAGACAACAGAAACAAGCGGCCGACAGTGGTCATGCAAGGCCCAGCTCCGAGAAAACCTCCTCCAAGAAGCCCTCAAGCCCTCAACAGCTCTGTGGCTTATCTTCGTAGGTTCCACCAGCAGCGCAAGGCTCCCTCCCTTAGCACAGCGGTGGGTTCTGTGTGTTCACGTCTGTCTCCTCACCAGGCTCCCACAGGGCAGAGGATGGATTCATGGTTTCATTTGTTCACCTTCTATCCAACATTCAGGGACCACCCATTACACCCCAGGCCCCAGGGTGGCCCCAGAAGGCTCATGAGGCGTCACATTCTGGGGAAGGGGAGAGCAGTGCGTGGTTGCAATGGCCGCAGGTGCAGCCGACAGAGGCGGTGGCTCAGAAGGGGTATAAAGCCGGAGCTGAACACCGCCGAGCTGGTCCCTGCTGGGGGGTGGGCGTCTTCACCTCACCCCAACCCCTTTATCATTCATCCAACACACACTTCTGCTGCACTTACTCCGAGGCCAGCCCTGGGCTGGTGGCTCAGAATATGGAGGGCCTCGGCCCCAGATGCTCCCAGAAATCGCTCTCCTTCAGCAAGACTCGGGCAGGAGGTCTGCAAACAGAGAAGGCTCTCCCGGCCTCCGGTTAGGAAGGGTCCTCAGGGGGCTAAGTGACTGTGGAGGCGGTCTCTGCTGGGAATCAGCACCCTGGCAAGCCCCTTGTCTTCCCTGGGCCTCGGTTTCCCCACCTGTTTGATGTGGGCAGAGTGGCAGTGGCCCCTTGTCGCCTCCTAGCCCGTGTGCCTGCCCTGCGGCCCCACTCACATGGGCAGCACGTTCCCCTCCGCTCCCCATTCAGCCCAGAACCTGGGGGGAAATCCCTGTGCCATTACTCTAATCGCCTGTGACAGGCGGTGACAGGTGGGAAGCCGGAAGGTCAGCACGCTGACAGCCCCAGGGAGGTCTGAGGAGAGCAGACAGTGGACAAGCTGGGCGGGAACGGAGAGGCTCCGGCACAGAGGGGGTGAGGCCGGGACTGCAGAGCAGGTGCACGGGCGGGGGGGGGGTGAGCCCGCCGCGCTCTGCCGCCCACCCTGCACACCTCTGGGCCGGCTTCTGCACTCTCGAGCTGGCCTGCCCCTGTCCCTGGAGTCCACCTTGGGATCACCGTGAAAGACCACTGGTCTGGGAACAAGAGACCTGGCTTCTAGTCCAGGACCCACCTCACTCACTCTGAGACCTCGGGCAAATCCATTATGCTCAAACGCTCAATGTCCCTGTGTACAAGGGAGGGATCCACGGGCTCCCCCGGCTCTCAGACTCTATGGGGAAGGTTTTGGTTTGACTCCAGACACCCCGATGAAAATGTATTCTCCCTCCCTTCTTCCCTTTCTTTACCGATTCAGTTCATTAATCTGACAAACACTGAGCGAGTGGACATCTAGTGCTAGCCAGGGGTGAAGAGACAGGGGCCTGTTCCAGGCACTCGGTCTCAGAATCAAGGTCTTTTGATCGGGGCTAAGTACTGTGTGGAGGGAAGCACAACCTCAAGTCAGGGCAGACTTCCTGGAGGAGGCAGTGATAGCTGAAGGGTGGGATAAGAATTAGCCAGGTGAGGATGAGAGTTGGGCACGGGGTGGGGGGGTGTTCCAGACAAGGGGAACGGCACGTATAAGGTTAGGGGATAAGTGGGGCTCATCCGGGAAGCTGACTGCAGGAGACACACAGACACGCAGGCATCAACAGTCCCTCCCAGAGCCCTGGCCTTCACCCAGTCCTGTTGAGGACGGAGACCAAGCTCCTGGAATGGCTATGAGTCTCCTGAGCAAGTGGCTTTCCTGCCCCCAGCCCCAGTCTTCCCGAGTGTCAAATGGGCATGCATCCCTTCGGGGGGCTGTAAGGTCCTGATGAGGCAGGACGAGTGACTGTCCTTTGGAGAAGCCCAGCGTGCACTCCTGGGTGACATGCTAAGCCAGTCTTCAGCGGGACCCCAGAGCCGTGCCCACTCTTGCCCACCCCGCGAGTGTACCCTTTGGCACACGGGCTGCAGGAACTCGCTGCCAACAGTTCTTGGAACTGACTCCTGGCAGCAAAGGCAATTCCTTCCCTGCCTCCATGGAGACCCTTTAAAGGCGAGGGCCTCCAGGCCCAGCAGAGGTCTGCCCTGAGGATTTCAAGCGCCAGCAGGGAGAGCAGGCTGCCTCAGGCTGCACAGGAGCAGCACAGAGGATTTAACGAGCAGTGTGACCCGCTCCGAAAGGGACATTCCTGATGCTGGTGGAGGCGGTGTTTGGAAGGGCCCAAGCCTTACAGAGCTCCAGCTGGATCTCGAGCGCTGCCTGACAGCGTTTCGGGGTCCAGTCAGCACCCCATCCATGTCCTCAGCCTCAGCAGCTCCAGGCCCTCATGGTGCAGCTCAAGACCCTGAACAGAAGACTTCAGATACTTTGAGAAACTGGTTGGAAGCAATCAGCAATGAGTTTTTCAAATCCCATCTTTCCTTCTCTAAGCCACACCCACCTTCACTTCCTTCCCTGTGGGGCAGAGAGACCACCGTCTGCACCCCCCCTGCCCTCCCCTGCCCCGGCAAGAGGCAGCTCCCGCACAGCTCCAGGGGGTGCTCCCCCCGCCCCATGAACCCCCAGCCCAGGACGGCACAGACCAGCCATGCATTCCTGAGCCTGTGCTCCCAGCACGGCCCTGGCCCTGCCCTCTCTGGGCCCGGCTTCACAGGACCCCACGACACTTCTCTTCATAACCCTCTCACTGCCCCACGTCCCCTACCATAGCGTCCTGCTTCCCCACAATCTGTGGACAAATCCTCCACCATGTGGTTTCAATGACCATACAGTGCAGACCACTCTGGAACGACTACTGCCCTAGCCCAGACCTGTTTGTCCGGCAGCCTACTGGGCGTCTCTACCTGACAGCCCCCAGAGCCTATAAAGCCAGCTCACCCTCCCCTCCCAGGATGTCTCTCAACGGAGCTCTGTTGTCCAAGTCCCATGGGCCCTGTCTCGACCAATCAGTGACCGGAGTGCCCCTGAATTTTTCCTCCTAACCATGCCTGACCAGCGCAGGTCACCATCAGCTTCTGCCTGAGTCACTGCAGACATGGCCTTCCTTGTTAACTCTGCAGCTGGAATGATCTTCCCACCCTCCCGAGATGCCCCTGTCAGAACTCGTTCCCAACAAGCCACTAGAGGGGAGACTGTGAATTTTTCGAGGGCAGGAGCCACGTCTGATTCATCCTTGGCCCCAGGGCTAAGCCCAAGTTTGGCCCACAATGGTGGCTTCGTGAATGTTTGTTGAATGAATGAATGACAAGACCTGTTGCTCCATATCCTTGTTGTGATCTCATCCTAGCCCCAGAAGACTTGAGCTCACAGATCCACTTCCCTTGTAGCCCCCGCCCAGCCTCCTGGGGATGCTCCGGCAGATCCCACCAATCCCAGGAGCTTGGGCCTTGCACCAGCCCAAGTCAGGGCCCCGTGCCCGCTGTCCCCAGGGGCTGGCAGACAGGGCCTAGGCTTGCCTCCGAGGTCACAAATTCCGAAAAAGTCACCACGCCCATCCTGGAACCTGCAGGGAAGGTGTGGCAAGTTTCCAAAGGGGCCCTACAGTGTTGGGGCTTGCCCAGGCTCCTGGGGTCTCCTGGCCACCGCTCAGCCACTCCTTCCAGCACTGACAGCTGTTTCTGGCCCGCTCTCCGCAGGGAGGCACGTTCCCTTTCATCTGCTGAGGCTACATGGACGAGGAGAGGAGGGAAGAGAGGGAAGACAGTGAGGGGTGGGGCGCGCAGAGCCACAGGGACAGAGTAGGGGAGAGGAGACAACAGAGGGGCCGGGAGAGAAGAGAGACTCTCCCAGGGAGAGACCGGGAGAAGGAGAGAGCGCCAGGACACAAGGAAACAGAGAGAAGACAGACAGATGAGAGGGGGAGAGAGGGGCTGGGAGACAGGCTGTCAGAGACTCAGAGACAGCGGGAGGGAGAGAGGGAAAAGGAGAGACACTGAAACAGAAAGCAAGAGATAGAAAAAGACAAAAACAGGGCAGAGACACAAAGAGACAGAGATAGAGAGGGAAGAAGAAAAGAGAAAAAGAACCTGGAAAAGAAAACACGGGGCATGGTGGTAGATATCACGGAAGGCTTCCTGGAGGAGGGACCCCCCTGTAGCCAGGACTCCCAGGATGGGTGGGATGGAGGAAACATACGTGGTGGCGGGCAGGAGGAGGACTGTAGGTCTGTAAAATGGTGGGGCTGGTTTGATGATTGTCTCCCGGACCCCACAAGCCACAGTACCATTAAAGGACATTCATATACAAACAGGGGAAGTGTCCTGCTCCCAGTGGGCACAGCCCCATGATGTGTTAGTGCAGAGAAAAGGCTCCTCTTCTTCCAGGTATAAGCAGGCCGGGGCATCACACTCAGCAAACGGAGCCCGGGCTGAATCTAGCCTCTACCCATCAGCTGGCCTGGCCAGCCGGGCAGCCCCCATTTACCCTCCCGACATGGAAAGGCAGGGTCAGGCAGAGCAAAGAACCCCGTTGTGGGGTTAGGACAGAAAACCTCGCTCAACGGTCTCCTG